ATTAAGTTCAATAAAATTAATTTAAAATAAAAAAGGTTTTCTTAACATCAGTTATTCTATACAAAAGCAACAAATAAACTAAAATATCGCAACTTCAAATCTAAATGTCGCCCACTTTCCTTTTGAATCGTTGTTCTTTAGCTTGCATTTAGTGGACTTTCCGAATGATACCGCAAATCCTCTCAGAACTTCTAAATTATTCAGTGGACTCTTCATACTGAACTGCTACCACAATTCATGAAAATTGTGCACACTAAACATTAACTTCATTTTATAAATAAAAATTCTTACTCTTCCTTATTATAGGAATTCAATAACCATAGCAAATTAGAAACGAGTATTTAAGAAAAGTTTGTATCCCCGTTCACAAAATAATTTTAATTATATGTATTTAAAAACATAATAATAAATGAGTTTAATTTTTTACGTTTAAAAAAAAAAAGACGCTGCGATTCTTGTTGAGTGTGATGTAGCACAGATTGCGCTATTTTCCAGTGCAGTTGAATTAACTATTAAGCTTCTTGGAATACGGAATAGTGTATTTCGTTAATGAGATATTTTATTTAGTTCCATGGAGAAAGAAACCCATAAAAATATTAAAAGGGCTCATTATTTTTATCTAAACTAATTGAAATATTGTACTTGGACAAAATTACTGAAAACGAAATTCTAATTCCTATCATAAAAAGTGGTAGAGTCAAAAGTTTATTTATAAGAAACTATAAATAACATTTACATTATTAAGAATAACATCTTCAATGTCTTCCATTCATGAAATCAAATGTTTAACTTTAAATATACACGAAACAGAGGCAATATTGTGATGTATAATCTTTACGCCTTCTCAAATCCAATATCAAAGGCATCCGAAGTATTTGTGTTGAAACTTCCCGGAATTAATGCCACCATGCTACCGGACAGAAAGGAAACGGCTCTCTTAAAACAATAAATTACTTAACAACCCCATAACCAATGTTTTGGACCCTTTCATCAACTGGCCCCGGGAACGTAATTATAACTTATAACAATGACAGTTATTAACATATTAGCTTTGTTATAAAATTAATTATTTTTGATGTTTTATTCTAAATAATGTAACGAAATGTGAAGCTTATTGTTAGCGGTGACTTTTTGTAATACCATTGTTGACCTAGATTTTTATTATCTAAGTATTTGTTTGTATATTATATTATATATAAAAATAACTTTGCATTGTGTCCACGTCATAGTGACACTGGGAGGTTAATTAAGATTATGTGTCGGTGGGAAGTGAATAGGGTCATTATTTTTTCTCGTTTATATCCGAATGTTTTTTTCTAGCATATTGCTCTGCGTCAACATCTTTACAATGATTCTGGATATGTGACAAAATTGCAAATGCTAAAAATAACATATTACATATTCATTGTCAAATTTAACAAAAAAGTTAATATATAGCTAATGTGATTGAATTTTACTAAGCTGTCCCAAAATATTAATGAATTTCTATAATTAGCCGAAAAAACTAAAACACAAAAATAATAAACGCTCATTTCACATAAGAACATGAATTTCCATTTCATGCATTAATAAAGTTTGCTTAATAAATGTAAGCTCAATTTTAAACTGGGTTATCAACTAACTACAGTTTAAAACATAAGTTCATTCCACATATTCCATATGCTTTTCCACGATGATAATTAAAGAAAATTTTTAACAACGTCGACTGTAGTTTTGAAATATGTTAAAGTTTATAAAGGTCTCTTTATGTTTGATGTATTTTTTAACTATAAATATACGTCATAAAAATAAAAAATATACAAAAGACTGCTTCAAGTAGATGAATTTTGTCGCTTAAGAATACGATAAAATACTAGAACTAATTTTTAAAGCCACCTAATAATTAATCATAAAAAAAGGTCAAGCCGTCTGAAAAAAGTGTGGCAATTAGTATTATGATATGAACATTTGGAAAAACCTATAACTACCTACTTATAAGTTTATTATAGAGTTGAAAACGCCCTTTACGTATTAAAATACGAAGTTAGCTCTAGAAGTTAGCAACGCCTACTTACTTGTGATAGCAACAACAATTCTAAATAAAGTACATATAATCAGAATACACGCCATAATAAACCCCGCTCTTAATGAAAATATTCCGAAGGTAGAAATATCATAGACATCGTAAAAACTTACTTCGGTAGAAAAAAATAAGATTATTTTTTCTACCAAAACAGAATAACAAGATCTATATCAACGCTTGGCGTATACAAAGCAATACTTTTTGTATTTAATATGGTTCATTTATTTGATAAAAGATTATTTCTATTTTCGGCGGTTAATTATCTTGTAAACTTTATACCACAAAATATATCGGGGTTTTAAACTTAAGAATTTAGAGTATTACTTTTATTCGACATGGTATGGTCATACAATAACTGGTGTCGTGTAATACTTCGTTTATTGAACAAAATGGAAGGACAGTACCGTGATGTCAATTCATATAACTCTCACTCCTAACTGAACTACTGCATTCTTGTAATACTTGCTCAAAGTGTCCACTTCTCGATACTGAAAGGGGGAGCATAAAATGTTATCAAAAGTGTTTGGGGCGGGCACTGTTTCATGATATTGCCTCGTCTACAACATAGTCGTAGTTTATTCTATTTTCAGTACGTTGTAAAAATAGTAGCTAATCGTTTACAAATTTAACACAAGATTAGATTTATCAAATTAAAACGAATTAAAAAGGCTTTTTACTATCATTGTCATTCCCATCAAAAATAATTTACTTTAAAAACAGACACTTGATTCACTTAGAGTGTTGATTAATTATTTAAGATATTTTTTCAGGAATTTGTTTTTTCAAAGAAAAACAGGAGTCCGTAAAAGATCACTGTGTAGTTTGTAGGTATAACTATTAGCAAGTATGTTACAAAAATGCACCGACATTAATAAATAACAAAGGTTAAAATTTCATAGAAACAGTCTCTGAAAGCAAAATACTGAAGACATTCTTTATTTTCATTTACGGCTTATACGAATTTTGTTAAACCTTTCCATTATATGGATTTCATAAGTATTGAAAACACATTTTTTTTTATATGTCATACATAACGTTCTAGGTTCTCATTTTTTCCTACCTATCTTGATCATACAAACATGTAATCATTCTCAAACAAGTGCTAATTATTTCAAGGATACTGTTAGACATATGTTTTCAAATAAAATAATTAATACCCATATTTAGTGTGGCTGCCAAGATATTTTTATATTGCAAAAGAACATCTACTTCATAACTTCAGATGTGCTATTAAGTTGGGCTATCATGGAGAAATTAACATAAAGGTAAAATCAAGCGGCGTTAGCTTAGAAGTTTGGACGTTAACTCGTCAGTCTGCAACTGTGATCACACCACATTAATCATCTTCTAAGTGTAACCATTCGAATAAAAAATACGAATTGGTATATAACAACTGCATCATAACTGTAAACAAACTATTGAACACGTATAAAAGTCCAGATGACATGAATCAATTAAAAAAATAATTGAATGCGGCCTTTGAACTTTTGTATTAAATAAACTAAGACCCTGCGTATAAATGTAACACGGAATAAAAGTAATAAGCTACGAGCATAATTTTAACCTGTTAATAGAATTTTCTATGAAAAGCATTTCTTTTGCCTGGAATCTGCTTATTGATATACCTACATAAAACATACACTTCTAAGATTATATAATTAACGTGCTTAAAAAGATTAGATGCAAGTCGATAACTATAATAATGTAATAGTATTATTATAAAAATTAATAACTACTAGTAATTTTTAAATATACAGATAAAATTATATATTCATAAAAATAAGTTAATTTCGTTAACGAGGTAAATGTAAAGGAGGTTGCAAAAAGAGTTAAAATACACTACTCGTTAGTAATATAAGAAAAATCCTTAAAAAAGGTAGATTAAAATAAAAAAGAATGGAAGTTTTACTAACAATTCTCGTAAAATTCCAATTAGTTCAACAATAGTAAACAAACAAAGAATTATAGAACAAACGTTAGGGGATATTTTAGTTGTTTTTTATATAATTACAGATTTTCACGCAACGCCAACTTCAGTATTATAATCCTCAATTAATTGTTGCCCCCAGTTGAAGTTACTAATATTTTTAACTATATTTATTTTTATAACCGACACACATCTAAAAAAATCTTTTGTGCTTTAGTAGTAAGCATTTTTTTAATTAACGAAGTCTGGCAAAATTTTCCTGTTCGTAGCTCACTGTGACGTAATTCTAAATTGACTTATGTGCTTAGTAAGAGTTTACGGTGTCGACTTGATGAACTCCCAACTGTTTCAATGTTCCACTCAAACCTATTTACGTTGCGAACTTGTACTAAGCACTAAATTACTTCGCAAACTGTAAGCCATTACTAATGACACCATCAACTGAGCGACGACTATTGACGTACCATCTGTTTTGTATTTTTCGTTACATCAATTAATAAAATACAATTCAATTTATCAAAATAATAACTTCAACAAAAACAATTTGCAAAATGCTTAACGGTACTCTATTGTATGTAGTTTAGATAATTAATTTTATTTTAATAAGCTTAGGATACAACGCCAACAAGCTAGGTATGTGATAATTAATACATGGAAACTTGTTTTAAAGTTCAAATTATTCACTAACTGACTTTGATATTATAATTTCGATACAATATATTACATTAGAATTTTAATAAGTTCTAGAATTTTCTAATTATAAAAAAGTTAAATCTCGCCTCCGCATATCATATTATAATCGTGCCCATCATCAATGTTAACCTGTTTGCGTGTTCAGCGGACCTTTATATATACGGTTATCTCTTTTCACCACATCGTAATTATACATCCATCTCTCTCCAACAAGTATCATAAACATGACCTTAGCGTATTTCTTCATATATTTTTATTCTCAAAGACACAGGCGCGAAGCGCGCTGCTTTTATTTAACAAAAAGTGCACAAAAATAAAATGGTAAGAGACAACTTTTGTGTTTGTGCTGTGTGTGTATATCAAAATATTATAATTTGTTATTGCAACGCTGAATTAATATATATTATTTTACTCTTAATTTAACATTGTGTCATTATGTAGACGTGTTGTTTTTCGTTATCCGAATGGGACGTAACCGCAATTCCTTTTCTCGTGTTTTGTTTAAATTTAATAACATTTAATTGGTGACGCGGAAAGTAAATAAAGTAGGATTAAATGCATTTTATCATGTACATGCAAATTATATTGTTGGTTGTAACGTTGTATGTTATTTTGAGACGTTTCGTTGTTTACGGTCTTGTTATCTTCAAAAGCGAAGACAAAGGGTTAAAGATGCGGCTTAAAGTTTTATATAAATAGAAAATCAATATCATTTTTGTTTAGGAATTTTAAAATTACTAATTTTACTATTATTGACAACACATTTCAAAAGAAGTACAACTTCATATATTTTTTATAAGTTTCATTATTTTTATGTATAAGTTTTCGTATAAATGCATTGTAAAATTAATAAACCGGTTTCCAGTAAGGCGGTCCAATATGTCATTCAAACTTGTAGTTCGAAGGTGGAAATACCAGATTACGTGAGGTCAACAAATGATATTGTTGAGAATTTTTATATAATATATCTATCAGAATACCTTCAAATAAACCCATTAGGTTGTGAATAAAATATAAATTTACACGGACTATTAAACCCATAACTTCAATACCAGTATTACGAGTCTAAAATTAATTGTAATTTTAGTTTTTAAACGATATAAATTGTACATATTAAACCAATAACAAGATGGCTGCTTCGTTGTTTCCTGTTAGATGTCTGATTGGATATTAATTACTTAAGTGTCATATAATAACATTCCATTTATCGCTTATCTATATAGGAAGTAATGTAATGTTCAAACAGTACTATAATGTTAAAACTATTGATTAAATTGCAGAAATTTTAACATCTTAATATAAACATAACACGTTTGATCTATTTCTTAAATATACTATATCAACAAATGACGTTGTAGGTTAAAAAATGCATTGCAAGAGATTATTCACTTTAAAACTAAATCAATATTCCATATAGTATAAAGATATGTATTTAAAAAATATATATGTAATTAGATCCGTGTGAAAGAACATATGACTCGATTGTTTGTCTAATCTATGTATTTTATATAATACGTAAATAGCTTATTTACCTAACAATTCAATAAAAATAAAACAATGTGTTTACCCTATAAATAAATATAGTTAAGGAAACTAACTATCCGTTTTCCGTAACTACATATGTATCTATGTATGTTTATCTGTGTAGGTGTGCAATTAATCATATATATTAAAACATTATCCAATAAATATATAACAGAATCAAATATAACAATTATTATATCGGTTATTTTGGAATGAGTTTCCTTATTGTTTAAAAAGAATCTGTATCGGAATTTCTGTAACATAAATAAAACATGCGTTTTATACTACTCGGTAATTTACGTCATTATACTTCTGAGAACATAATATCTGAACCTATCGTACATGAGACACGGTTTTATCCATATTGTTGTATGTGTTATAATTAAATTTATACATGATAACAACCAACCATCATCAGAAATTTTAAGACAAAATTTGTATCATTTTAATAACCCAATTACGAGGTTTCGTTGACTCTTAATTACTAGTAATTTTAACGGTATTCAATATCTTTAAGGTCCTATTTGTATAAAAAAACTGTCTTATTAAATTGATGACTCAATTCGTAGTAACATCTTAATCGCTTAAAAGTAAAGTTATCGATTTAGTATATGTTCTCCATATTAATAAGCAAAACAAGCCTTGATATTCACAAGCCTTGTTGTTTTTTTGGTTAATATAGAAAGTTACTTTAATTGCAATACCGACCTTATTGTAATTACACTCTTAAGGATAATTCGGCATTTAATATATTCAATGAATTAAATAAGTAGCAAAATATATCAGAACTATTAATAAATGAACGAAGTGTTCATACCACTATAACATAGACTGTCTAGAAAAAAGTAGTCTGTGGCTTGAAACATGTTTACTAGGGCTATTTAATGAGATGTTTATGGTTGTTGTTTACTTGCTGCAATGTTACGAATTTTATAAGACCGGTTTGTATTTTATATTCTTATTCTACACTCCTAAATTATGACGATTTCGCTTATAGCATTCTCGTTATTGAATGGGAAAATACCCACGATTTTTATATCAAAATAAATTAAGTTGATTTCGATACGGCTATTAAGATTGGAACTAAAGTTAAAACGGTTTGTATATTCGCCTCGAATATTCTTTATAAGCTATTAACTAATAAGGAATTTATAGAATATATTTGCTAATGAACGGTATTACATATTTAATTAAAGGAAAATTTATAAAGTAAAACTCGTCTATAATTTGGAAATACCGAGTACTGCTATCAATTAATAATGTCATTAATATTACATTATTGAAGAAAGTCATAGTTAATGGTATTATTAATATTGTATTTCATTGAACATAAAAAAAATAAAAATGTAATAAATTTATATATTCTTATTTTTTTTTATCACCATCTTTCTTAGAACATTTCGTGCACGTAATCAAAAATGAGCTTAACGAGGTGGTAGCGACTTCAAACGGACGTAACGATCTTATGTTGACAAGACTATTTATCATTACTGCCAACCTTAAAAATAAAAATTGTTTCAGATTGGTGCGATCAGTATTCTAGTCATAGGTCTTTTTGTGCCAACACACGAACAAAGTACAACTATATCGCCATGCCCCAACGTGTTTATGTACGAACCCTCGGGAACAGAACCTGGAAGATGGTACGGGGTTGTCAATCTGTCAACAGATAGCACCTTACACTCATTATGGTTGAATATCGTGCTTGACAGTAAGGCTGATATTTTAGGGGTAAGTTGAACTCATTACCAACACTATAACAAAAACATATATTTATATAACAATATATATTGCAAATTTAACAAGCATTTGAATTAAGACTTTAAGGTAATATTTATTTTAACAGAATTGGGTAGGAGATGTGACGACCACAGATAATATAGATTTTAAAATTGAAAACACAAAAATGAAAATACATCCTGGCCCGGCTGTGGCAGTGCGTTTCTTCGTACAATACAGCCCACTCAACAAAGCACCACGCTTGAGTGCTATCAGACTAAATGGGAGAGAAATCTGCAATGCCAAGACACCACAACCAGCGATTGAAGTGGTTGAAACCGCGAGGCCTGATCCGACGTCAATCAGACCAAGACCTGAAACCTCAAGGCCTGTAGACCGACCGGTTGATAGACCAATAGACCGCCCTGTTGAAAGACCGATCGATCGTCCGGTAGACAGGCCCAGCGTCCAAACAAGACCTGTTCTGAGACCTGAAGATAAAACAAAACCTGTGTATGGAAGACCTTCTGGGGATGGACCTGTGTATGTACCAACATCTAATCCACCAATCGAGCAGAGCAATGTTAACCCATATAGCATGTAAGTGTCACCCGATCAATCATTGTGCATGAAGTAGATCGTATTTTATTCTAATGCTATTAGAACTCTTAATCCTCTCACATAAATAATGAAGAAATTCTTTTGCTAAAATGTCTTCTTTTGCTTGCCGTTAGATCCCATATTTTCCCATGAATGACTGGGGCATGTTGCAAACTATTACTTTCTTTAAATCATTTCGAACGTTGACAAATTGGCCTACCGCTAGATAGGTTTGTAGCTAACTATTCCACTAGATTGACACCACGATCGTTAACAGCGGTGGTGGCCAGATACCAGCTCAGAGTGTAACCCAGTCAAGGCCAACATACCAGTTGACCACGACTACTTATACGTCAACTACGCCCGAAGACGAAGATAGTGACAGGTAATTGCTAAGAAAACAAAAATGCCCTGAATGCTGTAGATCTTAAAATTGTGCTTATAATTAATGCTTTAGAAACCATAAAAACAAAAGAGGAACGATTACGCTATTAACATATAAATATATACGTCGTTATAACGTCACATGGTAGATAATTTAGTAGTTGCATTTAATCTTTAACAATCAAAAAATAATGATTTATATTTTAACGCTACCTTTAGCTCACTATTTATTTTTATATTTTATATACATACATATATTAAAATCAAAACATGTTATACAAAATATTTAAGTGAAAATATTTGACCAACCCACAAATTATTTACAGCTACCATTGATACCGGTTTTATTTAAAATTAACAATTCTTTCGAATGAAAAATAATACACCAGAACTCTTAATTGGTTTTGTAATCTGCAATTGGCATGCACAAATTGAAATGTATATATTTTTGAAAATAGTAGTTGTTATAACATTGTTTATTTTTACAAAACGCTGTGGCTACATTCTTAAATACTTCCAGACACGTGTACTTAAAATCCGTTATATAGAAATATATTTCTATGGACTTTCTGTACACTAACCATAAAACTTATTATAGTTTTAAATCATTAAAAAAATCCTACTAATATCAAACCATAAAATCTGACACATACGTAATATGATTGGATCGAATTTGTATACTAAATTTAATATAAATGCATTTTACGTATGGAATAACATAGGTTACTTATGAAGGAAAGGATCTTTATGTATAAACATTATGTTATTTTTACACATTTTACACAACAGCTTCTATTATTTTTACACATTTTACATAATATCCTCCTTTTAAAGAATATTACTTATATTTTTATCGATATACCAAGCTCTGAAAGGCTTAGCGCATTCATTCAATACATCTATTGAAATGATCACTAAGGGAGCAGAAAACTCACAGCAAGTGCAGTAGTTATTTATAATGGAATTCCAATACTTTATAGAATTCATTCAATTTAGTAAAAATAGATATAATAAAAAGAAAGATTTAAATATAAATATGGTATTTAACTTTGTTGTTGGCGTATGAAATGGTTTTAACTATACACTTTTTTAATATTTATTAATATGACTAACTAATAAATGTGTTATTATATTTTGCTAGTGATGCTGACCCTTCAGAATACTTCAACGGCGGTCAACTTCTGGTCACACCAGTACCCAACGGATATGTCCAGCCTAAAAATGTGAGTGTGACTTTTGGTAACAAATAACGTAATCATTTGAAATATTTGTTATATTCGCTATTCTATTTTTTAAATATTTTCTATATAAGCCGTTACAAACTATATTATAATTATATTTAAACTATGCTAGTTTTATCAATTCAACGACGAACTCAAGTTTATCGTCCTCTCGATAAAACAACATGCAAAACTTGACTTATAAGTATATAACTGTTTGTATAACATAACCTACATCGATTTAAGTATCAAGCTCTTGTTAAAACAGAGAATAGATCGTTTTATCGCCAAATATAATAAACCATAACTTTGAAAGGTTCTTGAGGAAGAAACTGAAAACGTTAGTTTTGAAACATATTACAGCTCCTGAGCTAATAAGAGTAATTATTTATTTAGATATTTGTAGGTCAAACTGTGATACATACTTTCCTCCACAGTTCACACATGTTAAATACTTACACATAAATTTTACCCTTAATTTAACTTTTTAATATAATACTAAGTAATTTAAGATTAACGATTATAATTTTAAAACAACAGTCTTAGTGTTAAGGTGGTTCACGATTAATGAATTATCGTTTAAGGAGATTAATTAATATTCATAGCCGTTGTTTGTATTAAGATAGTAAAACGTGAACATTTTTTTTCTATTTTTACCGTTAAATTCCCTCGGATATCTCTATTCCTTGGAGAATAGATTCGACACGGAATTGACACTTTTCACCAAATAGGACCAAGGAACTAAATCCAATATTTGATGAGCTTGATATAAAACTTTTTATCCGACATTTTATTTCCTTTATACTTTATTTCAATAAGAGTATAAAGCCAGGTATTTTACCTTTATCACGACAGCTTCTTATAAATATTGGTTGGAAGTGTGGAGTTTGCATCCTTATATTTGGATTTTTATATAGTCAAGTTCAGCGAAGTGGTTCAAATATTTTGAAGAAATTTTAAGACAAATTGTTATTTTTCATTCATCGGTCACAAAACAAAAGTCGTTTAACATTTTATTCAATTATAATACTGTTATCAAAGTTTACGGAGAATTCTTTTCGTGTCGAGTAAATGATTTTAAAGATTTAAACGAGGTAAATCCCCGGTCGAAAATTTTTATCAAGAAACTTGTTTTGACGTTCACCGGCTTTTATATTAATAGCAATGCGTCTGAATATTTAGTAATTTTATCGAATTATCATTTTTAGTTTGCTTCAAAATGGAAAAACGTCCATCGTCATTGGTACTGAACGTCCAGACTCGAAAGCCTTTTAAATTACTAGGGTCTTGGACTCGGTTCCATGACAATCCACTCGCTAACTCGCTCTCACATATTTTTAAAAAATACTGTCGTATAATTCAATATCAAGATAGTTAAGAAATCGGTCTTTATTTTTTAGTTATTATAATGACTTTTTACTCTTGATAATCCTTGTGTGAAAATTCTTCAGTTTTTCATATTTTGAGCATAAGTGTTGGATTTTTTTGTAGACTTTCTACTACATTATAATAATGTTTTAACCAACAATCCTTTTTTACATATTTTTCGGATAATTTTAATACAGTCCCAAAAGCATATTCAACGTCACTTTTGAATGAAATATGAACTATGCCGTGCTTTTTTCCAAACTAGATACATATACATTAAGTATTGCTATGAGCAAGCGACTTTCTTTGTTTAGAACGTTTATCAAAGTCAACGACTTCTAAAAATATATCTTTATTATGTAGTATTATGATTTAAAAGTATAAGCATAACCCTTATGATAACATTCCTTTATTTATAGTATTATATAAAATATCGTCTTGCTAAAAGACACCCAAAGCTCTGGTGCGAATTGTTTTATTGAACAATATATTATTGATGCGATGCGATGTTTTATTTCTGTATTAAATGCTGTATCTATATGAATGTCTGATATTTTAATATGTAGCAATGTGAACTAATACAACTACTTAATATAATAAAAATATATTGCGAATGCTTATTTTGCGATTGTTGCGAATGTTGATTAAACTTAGAAAACAATTAAATGTTGATTAAATTGAGAAAACAATAATTTCAAGAGCGTCTTTGACACGTTGTTTATCATCGTTATTTATAACTTGAGATAAATATATTCGTACGATTCTAAACGCTTTCCGATATATAGAAGCAAAATATAATTATAATTAGATAGTTTCCAAGAAATTTACTTATAAAGATTTTGAATGAGTTTAACGCCATATTTTAAAATATTGATTACACTACAAAAATTATAATAATATTAATGTCAACAGTAAGTAAATTCTTCATTATCATTAATATCCATATATCTGAGATACAAAAAATATATATTCGTACGTAAGAAAAACTGCTTCCAAATAACTTTATCACTTAATTATTGGAACTTTAATAAGCAAACTTTGCGCCCTTTGCATCATCGATCTAAAACCGACGGCTTCAATATTATCGTTACTAAATAAACGAATTGTATAGAAAGTCTTGAAACTGTCATTATTTAAGTTAATGACGCGAAGTCGTACAAAAGGTAATGGTTTTTGTCTCCCTAAAAGGTCTGATGACAGCTGTAATTGATATGGATGTAATTTTAATATGAATTAAAAGTATAATTATTCTTCCATATGAAGATAACATTTCAATTCTATTAGAAAAAAGAAATCTACGTTAAGTAAACCTCAATTAATAATAATCTCAATAATATTAAACTTGGTTGGAGATACTTGTGTATATTTTATAATATTAATCTTTACAGCTTCACATATTTGTTTTTAAACTACATACTAGCCGATATATCCTAGACAAATAGAGAAATATATTTTGAAATGAGTTAAAACATGCACACATTTATACAGAGATCATATTTCCAATTTCATATTGGTATATTTAAATAGGTACGCTAAAGGCTTCATACGTCTGTTAAATAATGTGCAAAAATTAACATATGAAAATGCACAGAACATAATATACTAAATGTAACAATAATATTTATAAAAATACAGATGAGTTCATTATTATAATTATTCTTAACATTCTTTAGATTAATAATTAAACTTTGTATTTTTGCGAATGTATGTGAGATATTGTCTAGTAATAACAGACTGTATGAAATTTGATTAAGTCACAAAATATAAATGATTAAAACAAGCTATTTTAGATTAGTATATAAATATGTTTATATTTGTAAGTAGTTAAACGGTTTTATTTGACTTACCATGCGTGTCAAGCATTGTCTATCGATCTGTTAATTGCACCAAGGATAAAAGATATGTATCTTTATGGAAAATTTTAATTGTTTTCTGCATTATAAACCAGTAATATTGTAATATCGATATTATTTAGCGATAAAGTCCCTTAGCGATGATTATTTGTATTTTACTTTTTATTTAAATTTACTTTCTTTTGTTTCTTACCCTTTTAAAAATATTCTTTCACGTTTACATTTCAGAATAATTTTTGTTAGGTTATAATTTTTAAACCAAAACATAGTAGGGTGGTTATCCGACTACAATTCAATATATTATTTAATAGTTCTTAATGTTAATGATATGTTTATATATTTTTAACAATGTACGTGTCTTGTTGTAGATACAAATATATTATTAAAACAATTAAGACTTTACGAGCACAATATTATTTTGTAAAAGTTATGAATATGTTTTTTTATTTGATAGGAACAATGCGGTAAAGTGCTCCGAAACAATCCGAATCCTCTGGTGGTGAACGGCAAGCCGACGCTTGAAGGACAATGGCCCTGGCAGATAGCCCTTTATCAAACACAGGTTACTAACATGACGCATACTTATAATGTGAAAGATATTAATAATGTTTTTTTTTAAATAATCCTATTTTTATTGTTTTTGGCACTATCATAGAATGGTTTATCAACTTCAATAAACACTGAATTAACTTTGTTTCTTTCGAACACAAACTCTATATTTTTCAATAAACCCTTAGCATTATATTCAAAAAATCTGCGCTCAATTGTATCGCAATATTTTTGAAAATGGAACGACGATTTCTAGAATTCAATCTTATTATTTACTTGTAACTTATTGTTTTATACCAGACCGTGGATAGCAAGTACATTTGCGGTGGCACCCTCGTCTCCCACAAGCACGTGGTGACGGCAGCTCACTGCGTCACTCGCAAAGGCTCCAGTCGCACTGTGAACAAGAACACCCTCACCGTGTACTTAGGAAAACACAACCTCCGAACCTCCGTGGAAGGAGTTGAAATCAGACTTGTGAGTGATCGATTACTATGGACTATTATCATGTAGTATGGAACTTATGTATAATATTATAAAATTAAATTCACAAAAAAAAAGAAAGTTATGTAATCTAAATAGAAGATATTTTGTAAACTATGAGTGGTGTTAATATTAATATTTTCAATTTCTTTTTAAAACATGATAATGTAATTTATTTTCAAGAAAATATCTTTTAATTTATTAATGAAAAAATAGTGATGCTAGTCCTGTTTTCAGTACTGCTGAAATAATTCTATTCGTAATTCCAATACAGTTATTATGGCGCCATATGATTGTATGCCATATTATTGTATACAATACGATAGCTTTATAATTTATATCCTATAATTGGATACGATATGATGTCTTTATTATCTATGTCCAGGTGGGTGAGATAACTGTCCACCCTCAATACAACGCGTCTTCCTTCAGCCGTGATCTCAGTATCCTCAAACTCCGCAAGGCCGTCGAGTACACGGAATTCATACGAGCCGCCTGCCTCTGGCCGGAGAACCAGATCGATTTGAATAATGTCATTGGCAAAAAGGGCTCCGTAAGTATAAGACATATAGTCTTAGAAACAAGATTAGAGCTTCTTTTTTATAAATGATATTCGATACAATGTCTTTCCAGTAGATCGTAGTAGATACAACTAGCATTGATTAATCTATCACACCAACGCGCGTTACGAACGAATAAAGTCCTGATCTCCTCTAACAACTGCATATATGTTATTCGAGTGTCTCCTACCTCTCATATTCCCCAATATATTATTATATTTACAAATGTATATAATTTATATTAAAAAACCGACGAATCTAAAATACATATACTAAATATATAAAATCGCAGCATCAAAATTGTTTCATAGCGGGAAAGCTTTCTGCGGTAACTTATATTTATCTTAGCATGAAGTGATATATTGTGTCTACAAAAGATCTAGCAGCGCTCACTGTTGAGATATTACTAGTGGAATAACCTGAGTTGTGTACAATAACTACATTGTAGTTTGGATACACCGAGTTGGAGTTGGAGTGATTGAATGCAAGAGGCGGCAAAAAAATATTACACTTGTTTCAATGTTTTTCCTATGAATGAATGGACTATTTCTTGATTTAATTCACATAGAATAAGTTTAATACAATGTAAAGGAGATTTTATTATGTATAAATATGAAACAACTTTGAACAGAAATAAAAAATGACTGCATAGCAAAGATTAGTCGTTTTGTCGAAATAGATTTATGTATACATGTAGTAAATAATATAAATGTTATAACGAACTAGGATTATTAAATTTGCATGTATTCGTTTCGGAGATAAATCAACTCTATCTAGTTGCTGAGTATTTAACCACTGCAAATACGAATTCAAAGCAGTGCATTAATACATTTGATGATTTTGATCAAATCTGATAGCAGTCCATTTATAACAATGCGTTGTAATTACTAGTGCGACAGAGTGGTTCGTAATTTGCATTACATTCTTTAGAACTCAAATACTTAGAATTCCGAATAAAAAGAAAAATCCAGATGTGTTCAGAATCAAGTTCTTTTTACTCACGATTTATTTTATTTTACGTTTCGATTAATTCCATATCATCTGGCTGTAAAATAATTTAAACCCAGAGTAAAATTTAAACTAATAGAATACGAGAAAATCCGAAATACGTATTAGTCTTTTATATACTTTGTGCAATTATTTCAAACCGATAAACTCTTTGAAATATAAAAAATAAAAAGTTCAGTTATAAATAATAAAGAATGATACGAAGAATCATCGAAAATCAACAGAAATATTGATATCTACCGCTTTTAATGTAGCAATGAATGTTGATCTGTCAATCATTTTGTTCACCGATTATACTCAGATAAAATATATACTTATACAATAGTAATGCGACGAATATCTATGCATTTTTAACGTTACCAAAAAATAGTAACTACTTCTCTAGTCGACCTATATTTTTCTTTACATTTATTCATAACACTAACGAGACCATCAAGCAGTGTTTTAATTCATGCTTTAATTATAAAAATATATTTCAGATAGTTATGATTCAAGAAAAAACTATGGGTGAAAATAATACTTCGTAAACTACATATTACTAATTCCATTACATATATATTGATTTGGTAGTACAGGCGAATATAAGAATATGTGGCAACGTTTAGGATAAAAAAGAAAGAATAAATGTAATGAACACTATTTTACAATTTTTCAATCGTTTCAGAAAGAAAACATCCACAGATATAACAATTTTCTCTTTAAAAAATGTTATTGTAAATATATAACTAATTGGAATAAAAAAATAAAAAAAATCAACACAAGTTAATATTTATCAATATAAATAGGATTTCAAATTCAGGAAACTTTTACCTTTGATATATAAAGCCCCAGGCTGATCGGAATATTAATATAACATATTTTCATTTATTCATAAACAAGTTTTGATATTATTGACAGGACTTTATTTACTAATATTATTTATATAAGCAATGTTTTAATATAATATTTTCGTTAGATACTTTTTAAGTAATACGTTTGTAATATTGTAGGTGGTAGGATGGGGTTTCGACGAGACGGGAGTGGCAACTGAAGAACTGACACTAGTGGAGATGCCGGTGGTAGATCAAGAGACCTGCATCAGATCTTACAGCGAATTCTTCGCCAGATTCACCTCTGAGTACACATACTGCGCGGGATATAGAGATGGTCAGACATTTTCATGTATAATATTAATTAAAACACACTAAAACGTTTCCTCAGAATTGACATTTAGCATGAATAGCATAGACGTGAAAATATATTTTCAACGGTTTTTCTACTTTCTCAAACATCATAAATTTGTGGCTCCATCATTAGTTTATTCAATTGTAGTACCTTCATATTTTTTTAGGCTTTCTTATTTGTTAAGAACATTGAATTAGTGTTCATTTTGTACATTATCATTAGTTATCATCCCTTTTAGTCCTAGCTTTGCTTAGCCTTTCTTGCGTTCTTGAACATAGTTGTTGGATTCCTCTATCGTTTTCGTAAGCAACAGCGCGTTTTTCTCGACAAGCGCGATTCTTTTTAAAATTAAGTAGATTATTGCATAATTCTTTAAAATTTTCTGTTATCGAAACAATGATTTATCTTATTTAAATAGACATAATTTGGTAACACCTCCAATAATTTATTACAGGAACAGCCAATGCACAAACCGGCATTAGAAAGAGTATGTTGTATTATAGTTAGCTTGATGTCTTTGGAATATAATAAACACAAATACTTTTCGCTTTATAAATTTATTTCCATCACTGATCGCTTAATCCCAGCTGAGCATGTTAACGCAATTACGCTTCAATAATAACGTTGATATATTTTAAAGGTTTATACAATACGCACAAAAAAAAACTTAAAAACGAACACACTAACGGGTTGTCTTCGGTTTATATATAACAACTATTCTCTTTTGCTTTTACTCAATGTCTTATCTATGGTTAATAACAATGACTTTCAATATATATTCTGTACGATTTGACAGGTACGTCAGTGTGTAACGGTGACAGCGGCGGGGGTATGGTATTCGAGATGCAAGGATCGTGGTATCTCAGAGGCCTGGTGTCCCTATCAGTGGCGCGACAAAACGAATACAGATGTGACCCAACTCACTACGTAGTGTTTACAGACTTAGCCAAATTTTTATCTTGGATTAAGCAGCATGTAACTAACGTTTAAGTTTATATTTTTGTAAATGTTTTTACCGCTCTGGATACGAGTCCTTTTGAGCATCTAAGTTTATGTTTATATTGTGTTACTATACTCAAATGACAGCACAGAAACTTAGTAGTTTTTTAAATTAGTTCCGTCCACATCGTCCTATTGTTTTTAAGATGAAAGGTAAATTATTAATTTTTTAAAAATGTGATATTTTTGTATAATTTTTTATCCTTTTATAAATGCAATGTAATTTTACCTATTTTAGGCAATGCGAATTTGAAATATTGCTGTAATAAAATTATTGATATTGTATGTTATATAAAATAAAATGTGGCATGTTTCTCGAACGAATTGGTTAAAAATATAAGATATTACAAGAGATGTTTATTATTACGCACCCAAAATAATGTTTTCTATTTAATTCACCATTCTAGGTATTCATGGTCACAGTTCGCAAATTAGTTAATTACAAATAATTTTTCTTACATAAAAATAACATTAAAAATTATTACTAAATTCCCAAAAAACCTTTGTGCTCGTATAATATGGTTTATTAAATATTTTTTTCATTAGTCAAAACAATGTAGGTACAACAAAAACCGAAAATCGGGATGGCAAAAACTCAATTAAAAAAACGGTTATAACCTACATCGATACTTTTAATTGTTTTTTACGCGACAATAAATATAAATATACTTAGTATTTTTATTTTAATACTTTATAATGACAAAATTGTTTTAAATTTTTATTTATATACATTTGATTAGAATTCATTTCGAACTCAATTTAGTCCATTTAAATCTTCAGAGCATATTGTAGATACTTCTGTCTTTTTAAAATCATGAAAGATATTGTAATTAACAAAATTCATAATGAGTTGAAATAAATAGGCTCTAATTCACGTGTATTCGAAAGCAATCAAATTTAGGTCTGCCCGTGATCACGGTTGCTGTAAAGTAGCCGAAACGTCGTCGGGAGTATGTAGTTTATAGTCAAAAATAAAAAATGGCGTAGTAAATCCGAAAATATTAGTTTCATTTAAATGAGTACTCGCGAAAATCTTACATCTCATTACAATCAAACTTAGGTTATCATCCCTTCTCACCTTCAAGTCTGTCAAAAAAAATAAATTATACATTATTTTAGGTACATTTAAATTAAAATATAGTATTAGATATATGTTTTTAGCAATACAACATATTATGGGGGCCAACTGAAAAATGGGGTATAACAAAATACGCCGCAATCTTATAGATTAAAATATCCAAATATAAGAACATCTAAATTTTAGTACAGCCAAATAAAGTGGGACCTTGACGATACCGATAGCTGTTAGAGATTACATTCTTAAATTAACAGTTCTAAAAAATCATTTAACCTGTTTTCCTCTGAAGAAATCTCTAACACACATACATATATTCATATTGCCTTAGAAATGATTTCTTTAAAACTGTTTGGCCCATACATCTTATTATATTTGTACATGATAAACGTAGAGCATACCGACATTTAGCTTGGATTTAAAATTATACGAAGCGTATCAACATCTCACAAGACTCACAGTGCACATACCAATCATATGAGGAAAATGTATATTAAATTGTACACGTTTTACTAGTATATACATATATATCTGCAGGCAACTGTAAGGTCTTTATGTATATAACGTCTAAAATATTTATGAATATGAAATTTTTATCATGTTTGTATCAATTTCTATTTTTAAACAATATTCCCAAAAGGTCATCGTTTGTTCTCTCTTGCTTAATATATACGTTATTTTAATGATTTCAGGTTAAATTATATTGTTTTCAATACAATACATCTCACTATTGCGTAAAATAAATGAAGCATACTCCAACAAAAAATATATATGTATTTTTATAAATAAAGCAAATCCAGTTGGATCGCATTGTTTAGTTATTGTGAATGATATTGAACATAGAAACAGGTTTTGATCGAGCATCCTTATTGTGTTGTCAGTGAGTATCGAGATTCGATCGTAAGATGATTGGATCGATATTACTATCGATTTTATCTGTGGCAGCGAGTAAATCATTGGACTATACATCTACAGCGAGGAATTTCAGTATAGTATTAGTCTATTTTACTCAAACTAAAACAGATCATGAAGTAGTGTTAGCGCCGTTTGGTTTATGGAGCTTGATGGGACAAGTAGCCTTTGCGGCTAATGGTACTACGAGGTATGAACTACAGAGCACCCTTATCTCAAATGCGAGTAATGAGAAGAGTTATTTCGAAAATCTTGATAACCTCACGAACAAATTGAAAGAACCGAGTGATGGTGTTGAGATGATGATAAAAAATTTCCTATTTCGCGACAAAAGCTTGAAAGTACCATTGGACTTTGTGACAAGAGTGGAACAAACGAAGGGAAATATCTGGTCTGTGGATTTCGCTGATATAAGTGCGCCACGTCTGTTAAACTCTATAATAAAATCAACTACAAAATTTCCAATTCCAGTATTTGGACCAAACGATTTGAATGCAACGGATTTAATTTTCAGCAACGTATTCAGTTTTAAAGGCAAGTGGTCGACACCGTTTAATGCGTCGAATACTTATGTACTAACTTCTGTGGATGCTGCTGGTAACCCTGTGGATTCAGTTAACATAATGAGCCAAGAGATGAATGTTCCCTTCTCAGATATAAAAAAGTTGAAAGCTACAGTGACTGAATTACCTTTTGGAACGGATGCTAAATTTTGCATGCTTATCATAAAGCCATACGAGGGCGTTACTGTGACTGAGGTATATAAGCAGTTAGCCTCGGTATTATTGAAAAATATTTTTGATAAGCTGAAGAGTGATTTTAATGACGTAGGAACTAAAAATATAACTGTTAAATTGCCGCGGTTTGAGAAGCAATCTTTTCTCGTATTAAACGCTCCTTTGAACGATATGGGCACATATACTATATTTGATCCTGATAAAGCGGAATTGTCTGGGCTATCAGAGGACCCGTTGTACGTTGCGACAGTTGAACAGAGAGCAAGAATATTCGTCTCGGAGGAAGGCGTGGACGTATACTCAACAATACCAGCAAATTTAGAAATAGCAACAAGTACACGTCCAATATACGCAAAGCCATTTATTTTCTTTATTGTTCATAAGTCTACCATGACAATACTTGTGGGTGGTATATATGGAAAATCTTAACTATTTCATAATTTTTAATATTAGATATAGCATATCGACTGAACCCTTCAATAAATAAGTTTAATATAAATAAATAAATAGTATGGAGAGAGGGGCTAGAGTAAACAATATATATTCAACTTTCTTTCATGTAATCCCACAGCTGTGATGAAATAATATTTCTATTATTTACAAACAATTTGTATAGTCGAAAATATATTTGCATTCCCTTATTTTGCAATAAATATTCGTTTAAAATATTTTGCTTTTATGTATGTACGTTATATTATATATTATTTCCTTGTAAAGATATTTAATTGTTATTCATCATAAGATAAATTACTTATTTATAAGTAGACACAAACAGTTACCATAAAAAATAATTTATTGATATAAATTAATTGATTAATCTCCAAACAACACGCTTACATTTATATATAAAATATATATTTTGCTCTGTTAGAATATTTTAAGGCTCCTAATTTATTTTATTAAATAAAAACACTAGATTATAGCTTAGTATTTTAATAATTTACAACTTTTTAATATATTACAAAATAGTCTTAAAAAAACACTAAGAAAAAACCGTTTTTACAGAATGACATAACTAACAAAACTAAACTAAATCACTTAAAGGATTAATACATTGAAAGGCATTCAAAATTATCAAGCTTAGAACATTTGAAAAAATAAATTTAATGCAACCTCTGTAAACATAAAAAACGCGTGGCCCAAAACTATTCTATAATAATAAAACACTTGAACACAATAACGCTTTTACAAAATAAAAATATCTTCTACCATCTATGTAATGAAAATTATAAATGAGACCAACAAAAATAGTAAAAAGCTATCAAGTTAGCAGACTAAATTGTTGTTTACACGACATATTTACTGCTTAGAGTTTGAAATCAATATTAATTTCAAAGATCTTTTATATTTTCCAACTTAACGTATCGCATATACAATTTTTTTTGTATGAAAAAATAGTTTGAAGTTATTAACGTTAGTGTATACCAACTTGTTTATGTTATCCTACAGAAAAGGACTTATGAAAGAAAAAGTTTTGTTAAATAACATAAATTTAAGTAAATACCAACAAAATTATTAATAAATTGCAATGACGAAGGAGTTTCAATGTTTCATTATTACTAAAGAAAACTCTAAATTGTAATGTTCACTTATTCTGATCGTAAATTGATAACCATTTAGATATAACTATACGTTTTCTCAACTTGCTCCTTAAAAGTTTCATTAGTAAACCGGTCATTGAACCTATAAATTCGTTAAGATGATAAAGGAAGGCACAAAAATAATCTAGTGCCTATATTTCCATCAAAAACAAAGTACACACTCATCACCCCAGCTATAAAATTAATATTCTTGGGGAGAATCCTACAATCACATATGTGAAATTGTTTTCTGAACCAGTCATGTCAGCTCGTTATCTTTGGTATGCCTTCATACATCTTGTACTATACTTATTACCAAAAAATTATGTGTATTCCGTTACCAATAAGGCGCTTGACCGTTTCTACACCTCTGTCCCTTAAACCTATCTTCAACACCCTGACCCCAGGGGAAGTTCCGTCCCCTATTGTTCCTGGGTGAGTTTTTTGGGTAGTTGGGAAATATCCTAGTGTTGGCGCAGGATCCCGGCCTACATCCGTTCCTGGGAGTAGTTGGATGACTGCCTCCCAATGGTGGGGACGGAAACCTTTCCCAGGCATCCGGCATCATGCAGTTCCCACAGTTCCAGGCAAAGTCCCCTAAGGATGGTCAAAAAATTAATGCCATAAATATAACAGCTACGTTAAAATATACGTTGAATTGGAGATGAATAAAAATTCATTTTAATAATATTATTTATTTAAATAAGTCTACCGTTTGGCCAAAATCTGGAAGAGTGTCTTTTACAATTTGTTTTCTGTCGACATTACACATGTTAGATATTTTTCATATTATTTCATACACAAACGGCGGTAATAAACATCGAGATCTAATTTTCCAAAATATGTCAAGAATTTTAAAGAATATTTGGATTACATTAACAGACATCTATATTTTTAAATAATTACTAAATATTTAAAGTTTTCAGAATAATCTAGAAAATGTCAGAAAATAAACTTTATGTAGGAAAATATGCGAGACTTTACATTGAAACCACGTTTATTACATTTCTAGTTCTTAGTTATCACCACACTACTTATCTGTTGGAATGGATTTTATGGGACCAATAGAGAAGTCAGATTTTTAACGAAAAAAGAAGATTCTAATCTGAAAATCAAAAAATTGCGTAAATTTAATGAGCATCCCCACAAACTGCATCAGAATCATATGAGTCAAAAAAGCTTTAATTATAGATTAAAGCGGTTAAATCTTTTCACAATTTGCATCTATCAAAGTCTTTCGAAACCGTTAACAACAACATACATCAATTCCAACAAATAAACGGACTATTTAAAAATATATGTTTCCATTACAGAGAACGATTATCGCAGATTATTTTTTTAATAATGAAATATCATGAAAATACTCTTCACTAAACGTACAGTTTTATTAAGACAACTTATATACTAGAAACCACGTCTAAATAACATATTATCAGACTAATTATATAATCATTAAATATGTTATAAATGGTTCGTTACAATTCAATATATATTTTTTTCAAATTATCATATTTTTTTAAACTTGGAATACTTCATAGAAATGCTTACAACGATCGTAGAATACGACAAAATGATCGTTTTATCTAATACAAGAAAAACATAATGTTATGAAATTACTATATGCCCATTGAAAAACTGACCATAATCTACAAATACATGAAGTCAATCAAAAAATATTAATTGATCTCCATATATTTATATACATCATATGATAAAAATGACACTGAAATGTTTTTATTACATAACAGTATTAACTTCGAAACTTGTATTTCCATAACAACAACGACCACCAACATTTTAGACTTAGAAAATACGCATTAGGCACAATTCATTAAACTATAACTATACTAAGCACGTATTCAATGAGAAACGCTGGAACATAAGTTTCAAGTCATAAGATTAATTTTCTTATAACATATACGCTATTCAGCTTTACCCATTGAAATGTAAACCTACCTTCTAAAATTACAATAAGATTCACAATACAAATGTGTCAGGCGCTAGAGTATGAACAAAAAAATGCTATTTCGAAAAAAGTAAGTAATAAAATACACATATATTAAATAAACGAAAACATCCAGCGCCCGTCACAAGTAATAAATAAAATATTCTTAGACTCGGAAACTACAGAAGAATATTACTCATTAATGTATATTGTCATTTTTAGGTATCAAATAGGATGTTTAAAGAAAAATATATATATTTCTAACGATTATATGCAAGAGATATCATGTATGGCTCATAATTATTAGACATTACACTTAAGTATGTTAAATATTACGTTATAGTAGAACGATGTTGTACATAGTTATTATCTAGATACTTTTGAGATACACCAACACCATTTTTCCCATCGAACAAAAAATATTTATTTTTAAATGGTTACAAAATAATTGCTATACACATAATATGTATTTTTAATTGCAACGTCTCTGATCAAAGACATAAACGCTAAAAACAAATGTAAAACTACCCGCAACAATCGAAAGTAAATTATTGCAATGATAAATTACTTTGAATCTAAACTACATACAATACAAAGTAGATTTACGATTCACAAAGCTAAACATTACTTTTATAAGAGAAGCGATATTATTTTTTTCATATAAATTTTAATCTCTGTTTAACAGACTAGTAAATTGTATTGAGCACGTCACGGTTTATAAGCCGTCATATGGCAACACCATCTACTATAGATAATTCCACATACTAAATTATTTTAATACTTGGGAAAAATAATGTAATATAGTAGCGCTATAGTACGTGTTGTCGAAATATAAAGTAATGAAAAAAAGTTAAAGCCTAAATATTTTGAAACAAAACATATCTTCCAAATATGACACATACTGCGTTCGCAAAATATAATTCCATTATTTTCAAAATTGTGTCATATAAAAAAAATCAAGGAAAATAATATATAGAAGACAGTGTTGCTTATAAAAAATCAACAAATTGACACGCAAACTTACACAATAAGTCTAGTATTACATATCATTTTACCTCATATCTAATACAATAACTTTTATTTCTTAATGTAATCAAAATCAAATCTATACTATATTATAGTAGTATAATGTTATAGGAGTAGTATCAGTAAAAATAGGATACTTTCTTAGAATATTATTGGAAAACTCGTTTCGTCTATGTAACAGCATTCTATAGAAATAAACCTTGAATGCGATACAAAGAAATGCATCTTCTACTCATCTTTATTACGATACAATCAAATGACGAACTAAAAATACAATTACAGTCTGAATCTTACAAAGCAATACAAAAAAAAATTATGCCGTCTATGGTTTTGTATTTTTTTTTTTTTTTTTTTTTGTCACTTAGCTTAATTTAACATTAAAATTTGGTCACTCGTTTATAGGTAACCGCATTTTTCGACAACAATATTAATATGAAAGTTGCTAACGTTAGATTAAAGCCTAGATTCATACCAATCAAAACTAGCATATCATAAAACTAGGATACAAATGATAACTACTATCCGAAATGGGACCATATCACAATATCGAAATACTAACAATGGAAAAATTAATAATAATAAAATTGAGTATATAGTCCATCTATGTCATGCTACAGTCCAACTATATACCGTCTACAGTCCGTCTATATCCTTGTATCGTTGAGACGGAACTTTTTGCAATACAATTTTCAAAACGGGCGATGGTTCATGTAGGCCGGCTGGTAGTGGCGGTACCTGTTCTGGTACATGTAGTTATAGTCCTGGCGGTGCAGCATATCGAGCTGGTCCAAGCTGTGATGCCGCTGAGGTATAACGGGGGGGACTATCCGTGCAGCGTGCGATATACACATCGTTTATTTTCACATATATCATATATTTTATAAAGATTCTTTATTAAAAAAAATACTATTTTTATTCGAAATACGAGAAAAAGAACCAAATTCAAAATTTAAGAACTTAAAATATATTATTTAATGTTATACTTATATTTCAAATCTAATGGTACCTCATAATACAATTATACATAGGTACTTGATTTGCGAATCATCATTCACCATTTCGCTTATCTACTTTAATTAAAACACTCTTTATATGTAAATATATTTTTGTATGTCGAAGAGCATAAAATAAATAGCATAATAAACACTTACCTTTCAAGCGAACTACAAAAAGAACGAAAAATTTTTTTTAAATAATAAATAATCACGGAACTTCAGAATTAAATGACACATACAAAAATTATATTATTCGGCAGAAAACAAAATAGCCCAAGTTAATATAAAGAGCAAGCGACAGAAAGAAATTATACTCGATCTTTATCTTATATAATAAATAATTTATTTTTCATCAGATTCAAGTACTGACAGTTTGAAGAGAATTCGTCATACGAAATAACCTTAAACCTTACCCCTATTGTGATGAAAACCAGCGGCCCAGCCGGCGTAGTACGCTGCCTTCTGCTTCCCGTGTTCTTCGGCAACCTGAACGAAACTTACATTAGTAAATATATATCATACATATGTATATATGTATGTGAAATATATAATATAATACGTATGTTGCATATACGAAATTAATTGAAATTAAATATATGTAATATTTCATTTGAATGAAACATTATCAACGCCAGTATTAATTAAGATAGTAAAAAACTTGAGATAGACGCGGAATCTAGACGTTTAAGAAAGTATAATTCAAGTGTATTTTTGATAATACTAAATTTTTGGGATTATATGCGTTTTTATCATTTTATATCTACATTACATGTCTTTCATCTCGTCTGCCCATGCTTACGGTAGCTTCAAAGGAATTGAAAATTCGGGATCATGTAAATTAATTAAATGTGTAAACACGAAAATGTTACTATAATTAATCATGTACGTATAATTTTAAATATCAGTAGGTACATACTAAAGAACTGTACATATATTTAATACTAATTGTGCATCATCATACTATAGACATTTCCAGTATTATAACATAACAATACATATTCAATATTAAGTTTATAAATGAGGTAAGAAGTTTGTCGATAAAAACTTGTGTTGACTGATGTATAGCTAGTCTTAGTCTTAGCCCTAGTTTGTTTCCTGAATCATTCATTCTATACTAATCTATGTCTCTTCTGACATATAAGGACGTTTTCAATTATTCCGTTCATCGCTCATTTCATTCACTCATTCACCCGTTCATCAATCGTTCAATATTATATCATAATGAAGACATATAAATAATAATATAGTAAATGTCTGCGTGGACTCTTTTTGTTATATAATATGGCGTTGATATAATTTCAGTTTTATATATAAATATATATATTGATAACACGTGTGTCTGTCTGTCACCGTGTCGCTGTGGTGTCTCACGCGCGGCGTGTCGGGTCCCGCTCTCTAATTCCATACCCCCCACCAAACCCCAGCCAATTGGTTGCATGCACAGAGATCATATATTTCATTGATTTGCGAAAATTTTTCTACACGTACTAGGTACATAACCGTTACAGCTCAGCAATATTTTATAGCAATTTGTTTTATTGATTGATACAGGACCAGCAGGCGGAAAAATGTTTTTTTATCAAACGAATTGAAAATACACGTGATAGACTAAAACAAAACTTCTAAGACTAGTATGATATACTCGATATTTAAGATGGGACAATAGTACATATATGAATGAACTACATATATATGTATATAATCATATAGTATATATAATGACGAAAATGTGTATTAATAGACACTATAAATATTAAAAACAATAAAACCTTAACACATAGTGGCTCGGAACCACCCTCGGGAATCACGTTGTTTAGTGCAGCGATAGCCTCTTGAGCCTCCTCACGTTTATCGAACCTGGAACGTGGAACAAAGTAATGTACAGTTTTAAATTATAATTAATAAATTCAAATAATATTATGTTAGAAACGATACTAAAGAACCAAGTTATCTACGGGTATGACCTATAATAATGTGTAATTAGACTAACCGCGGAAAATATTCGTTAAGTGTAAAAGTCATCGAGATGTTAACAGTAATAGTATTTCAGCTGAAATTACTATTAAAATAGAGCTTGGTTCTTACCCAAAAAAATGCAGTTAGTAGCAAAGTTTGTCCATAATATCAGTTAGGTTTACAAACAAAACAATATAGTTCCTATATACTGGCTCTATAGGCAATAACAACATTTTACTGAACCTCGTGTCCATCCTAAGGGATCATAATGAAGTAGCTACTATTATTATTAGTCCCTTACTATAGCTAATTTATCGTGACACTCCTGAGCAATCATATTCTTGTATTTATCAACATAGGAGTTTTAATTGATGTAATACTGACCGCACAAAAGCGACACCTCTCGGTGTGCCGTTGCTCTTGTCTCTCAGTATATGTTTCTGTACAATTCTTCCGTACTTCCCGAATATCGTTTCCAACTGGTCCTCGGTTATGGCGCGCGGCAGATTCGTCACGTACAAGTTGGTCTCTTTTATATCCTCACCGGAAGGACGAGCGTAGGATACCTGGAAATATGTATTGATAAAGTTGTATTAGATATATCTATATATATTTAAATTATTACTAAGGGAAAAAAATAGGTTTTTTTAAATATACAATACATTTACCTTTAGTCTCTTATTCCTTAATTGATATCCATTGAATGTTTCGATAGCTCGTGCTGCGTCTTCCTCTCTAGTGAAGTTGACGAAACCAAATCCGTAGCTATAACCAGTCTGCAGAAAATAAGTTTCATGAAAATTAATATTATTCATTATTTTTGCATACTAAATGCATGAATTTTTATCTTTGTAATTTTTTTATATTATACTAGGCTTTCCATCCGCAGCTTTGCCCGCGTGGAGTTCGGTTATATCGCTTTTCCAAGAGAACCTTTCAAAAGTCTGGGATAAAAACTATCCTATGTTCTTTCTCAAGGTCAACTCTATCTCTGTACCAAATTTAATTAAAATCAGTTGATTGGTTTAGGCGTGAAAGCGTAACAGACAGACAGACAGAGTTACTTTCGCATTTATAATATTAGTAGGGATTAAAGAAAAAATATTACGAAACTTTGCAATATGATTTGATGCTATCGAGCTAATGATGTGATACGTGGATAGGAGTTTACTAAACTTAAGATATAATATGTACATCGTGACAAACCTTAAAATCCTTCATAACCCTGCAGCTCTCTATGGGTCCTATGGACATGAACATCGCGTATAGATCCTTCTCGGTCATAGTCTGCGGCAGGTAGTTGACGATCAGGTTCGTCTTACCCGCGTCTCCCGCCGATGATATCCCTCCCTCTGACATACTGCCCCAACAACGGACACCCGCACCTACACGCCCTCGATACTGCTGCTGGATTTGCTACAAAACAATTTCATAGTACAGTGATGCCATTCACTTAATCAGTGGTGGCCTAATGGTTAGAGGGCCCGCCTCTAGTTGCCTAAGTCATATGTACTTTCTAAGAATATTTAGACATTACTGATTAAGGCTGATTCCCAAAAGAGGGGTGATGGCAGGCAGGCGGCCGGTTGTAAAAAACAATTAACCAAAACTATTCACAATACGTAAGGCAGACCCTGGCTATAGCCGGGAAATTGCCAGGTAGAAGAAGAAACGCCATTCACTTGTACAATATGAGACACGCCCATCATTTGATTCGAAAGAGTAACACAAATTACCATAATATCAACTATACCCAATGCCTTTTTTCCAAAAATCGCTTTTAAATATTTATAGCAAAACATAGGACCCAGATAAAAACCATAGTATAAATGTATATTTTTTTTCATATCAATATATTAGAACGAGTTTAAGTACTGAATTCTATACTATTCCTGGAATTGAGTATATAGCCAATGTATTTAGTATGTACATATACACATTAGCGTATTAACATTCAATATTATTTCGTGACGCAGCATTTCTAACTATTGAAGCCTTTGCTCAGCACATTTATAAGCTTTCAAACGATTATTCAATTCTTGTACGACATTTTCCGTGACATTTTAAGTTTCTTATTGAGATCAAAGTAACCCAACCCAACGCCTACGCGTCCTAGATATTTATATCTGACTAATAATAGACCTTATTTATAACATAACAGGAATCCCTTAGAATAAATCGATTTATATAAAGATTATATAAATCAGAAATACATAATGTTATCTAAACAAACGGTCAAACGAAACGAAGGTAAATTTTTCGGTTAATACACAAAACATATATGGCATCTAAGTCTTCAAATTCATTCTAGGCATCTGTTAATTCCGAAATTCCGTAAATAATTCAAACCGAATATACCATAAACATTACAATCAACCAAAAAACTGGGTCGCGACCGTGACCCGAAGCGGTGTTGTAGTGCTACTATTTTATGTAACTCGTTCCGTTCTCGAAGCACTTTGGCTAAAGCACCTCAAACCACTAGAACTAGAAAGACGATAGAAAATGATCGCCATTGTATACAAAACAATGGAAATATACGAGCTGTGAATTCTAAATAATTTAATATATTTAACATTTCTTAATACAAAAATAAACATACAAATAATAATAAACAATATTAAGGTGTATTCCTTACTTCATTTCAATTTTATGACATTTCTTTTGGTAATCGTTTGAAAGAATAGTTTTCAATTAATATTTACTTCTGTATTTCGTTATTGCTGTAGATTTATTGCACGAAAAATATACATATACCCCCCATATTTAAATAGTTGTTGATATAAGTATATTAAAGTCCATACCCTCATTTAGTTGCATTAATATTTAAAGCATCGCCGAGATGAATTCATCAAAGTTAATATTGTTAAAACGAGCAAACTTGTAGTAGCGAGATCGATATTGGAAGTCAGCAATTTACTTCTATTCAGTCGTAATTTAATTAAAAACTCCTATAACTTGTCCTCAGGGTATATCTTATTGATATTGTGCGATATCGTTTGATATAATAGAAATAAGATCAACCGTTCTATTGATTTCAGTTACACGGAGGTATGCATGTGGATTTGATTTTATCTGAAGCATTAAATTAAAGATTTCTGAGCGAAAGAAAACCTTCAAATCATTAACAGACTATTGAGGTGCGAAAATGGAAGCCATTTAAGTATTATAATCTGTGGAAAGGATTTTTATGCTAACATTGTGTACGACAAGGGATTTAGATTTAAATCTCGAATTATTCTAACGGAAAAAATCGTATATAAGGCAAATGAGAGCGATATTTCCAGAGAAATGACGCATAAATGCGTGCCAAAACCGTTAAGGCCAAGTCTGTAGTTAAGATAAGTTATGGAAGAAAAACGTGAGCCAGCAATTTCCTTGCATTATTGATTGTATGATGATATAACAGAGCTCGCGCGTAATAAATAGTTCATTTAGAAAAACTTTAACAAACCGTTATAATTATTTTTCGATATTCAAATTTTCTTTTTACATTTTCACTATCTACACATTATATATGTTTAAATGACAACATCATTTGTAAAAGATAAAATCATAAAACATGCAAATTTATACCATTAAAAATACAACGGCAATATTATAAATCGTGACCAAAAAAACTTCGAAGACAAAATATTTAATTATGCTCATTTCGGTTCCATGGTGTACTAAAGAAAAACGGTATCACCGTAGAAATTTATGAGAAAAGTTTTTAACGCGCACACACAGTTTCAGACACAATCGCAATGCGGCAAGTTCCGTTCTAAATCATCTGGGACAATTCCAATATATATAAAATCATAACTAAAATATATATATATATATATTTTTACCATACAGAGAACGACATTTAAATGCACATCGCGATATATTTCTTTGGCATGTAGTTCAACAATACTGTAAGCAAACTTGGGACAAAATATATTATGCTTTATTTTAACAAAGATAATGAAATTTGTAAATTGTTTAGAATATCATAGACCAAATAGATATAGATTGGGATATTGGTATGAATAATTAATTGCAAAAAAAACGATTATATAATGTATTATTATGCTAATCTGGCAAAATCCACAATTTGTCTAAAACCACAGTGGGGGTAGTTCTTGCGAGAAGGCGACAAGAGGTTCTGGCAAGCTGCCAAAGTTAATGATGTTTTCTATATAATGTTGCATGTACTTAACGCTAGCATTAAAATATTTTTTGATATATAATTTATAAGCATCACACTTAGTGTGACAAAAAAAATATTTTTATTACATTTATCCCAAATATAGATAAAGCATGGACATAATATTCTTGTAAGAATTTCAATATCTATAATGTGGTTCTAACACAAAAAATATAGAATAATATTATCATAGTCGCAAAAGATGCTACAAGAATAATAACAAATAAATACTTACATTTCTAAATTAATCTTGTTACATCAAAATCTTAGTCATAAAAAGAAAAATAACAAAGGTAGCAAAGCCAATTGTTTGAAAACAAATGTAACAATGAAAAAACCTTCATCATTGGTCAAAGGAACAACAAAAACTGAACTTCAGATATAAACCAACTAGATTTACAAAAAAATATGAAAAGTATTTTTAATACAGCCATGTATATTTGATTTGACTATTAAAAACTTGTTGTTCAAATTTTAACCTGTACAATTTTAAGCATCATTTCCTATACCTAAATTATAATTTCGCAATAAACTGTATACTAATTCATAATTCCTCCTATTGAATTTTATAATGTTTTCAGTTTCAAATTAAAGAAAAATGTTTTAAGACATTCTTAAATAGAATTGACAGTTTATAACACAAGCAAATTTCCTTTAGATTATCAAAAACATAATTTTTATAAACTATAATTTTTAATTAACAAAAACTTCTAAAAAAAATTGCTTAAGTATTTGAGTTGCAACAGTTAATGAGAGAAATTTTACTTACACACATAAAATTTCAATTTATAGTTACTTCAAGTTAAAAATGTTTTATCATACATTTTTTTAATTACTTGGTTTTAAACCCAAATCTAAAATATCGACCATAAAAGTAATTTAAATTAATATGTAGTGTTGAGCTTTGAATACTTACATTTTCTAGTGAATTAAAACTTCTGTCCCAGCTGCTGACCGGAGTCCCTCCGAAGAGATATCCTGGGTACCGCTCGCACATATCAGATACAATGTAACACTTTGTATCTCAAAAATAACTTCAAAATTGAGCAATCTATAGCAACTTCATACGCAACATTATTGTATATCTGCAATCAATAACATATCAATTAAAACAGCCATTCATTTTATTTTTATCTTTTTTGCAAAGTGTTTATGATTTAATATACAATATAGAAGAAAAAAAACAATCTAGAAAGCCATGGATGTAGTCATTGACCTTAAAAAAAGCTAAATACTACTAATTAAATATAAGTTATTATTTAGGTAATCAGAAATCATCATTATATTCTCGGAGATACAAATTTTATGACCATTAATGCTTAATATAATAATGATGCTAATGGTTAACGGAAAAGGGAATGAAAACTAGAATTAATTATTTACTTTATTTTATTTTGGACTCCATTATTAAAAGTTCGAAATAAGGTTATTAAAAATAACTCAATTAGGTAAAATGTACTCACAGTCTTTTACTTGAAAATATGTAGAAAATACCTAATATAGCTAAGTATTTAAAATAATTATTACATGGGATTTTAACAGCACTAACAATTCACAAACGTCAACTAGTTTTTTTTTAAATTATGATCTTGATCCTGATTCTAAATTTTGGGAATTTAAATATTTATGTAAAATAAATAAATATGGATTTAAGTCTCTATTTAATTCAAAAGACAAATATTATAATTTTGCTAGATTTAAATTACCAATGGCTTACTAAAAACATATAATAATGTTTTCGAACGTAACCTTAAATACTTTCTCATTGAAGAGAAAGAGGCGCCACCAATGTCTTCCATATATTATGGCATAGGAGTTTTAGGGTTTACAGATAAAAAAAAACAAAACCTGATTATTTTCAACTCTCCGTTTCGTATTTTAAACATTTGTTTGTAATTTTTATACTCCTAACATGCTTATACTGACTAAATGATTTCACTATGGACTAATTGTAATTATTAATACAAAATATTTGCAATAAAATATTTTTTTTGAATATTATTGAATTAAAATATTTACATAAAAAATACTTTTAACTAAATCTATATAATTAGAATATATTTATAAATTTACTTGTATCATTATTAAAATATATTTTTGATTTTTTATCTGTTGTTTTCCATGAATATTCTCTACAAAAACCAAACAGGAAGTTGGTAGCTAATGCAACCATTATTGTATTACCTTTGACGCCATTTTAGTTAAATCATTGTCGTCGGCATAAAAATTCATTATTCGATGACTTTCCAACGTTGTATGTACTGATCATTAGATTCGGTAATTTTGTGTATAAATATGTCATTTTATTACTAATGTGTGTATTAAACAGGATCTAGAAAAGTAGTAGGTAAGTTGTTGCTGTTTGTATGAAACACCATTGTTATATAGCGTACGTAATAACTGATGTCTAACCTACTTCAAAAAGAAAACATGTTTCTTAATTAAAAACAGTTATGTTTATGTTTTAGGAAATAATAAGGATGTTATTTTTATCATTGTTATTATTTCACTTATTATTTATCAAGTCACCATTTTATAAACTGAGATTTGTTGTACGTACAGTTAAGTACAGAACTTGTATATACGTGGTATTTAACTTAACATCATAACATGTTTGTTTGAGATTTGTCTCTTAATAACACAACTCAAAAACAGAAATCTGTGAATAATTCTTATGAATGTAAAATAACATGATAAGAATTGTCTAAAATATAAATTCATAAAATGGACAGGCGTATTCCCTCTGTTTATAGGTAACCATGAGTGTCATCATTAGACTGCAGAATCTCCCTTGGTCGGCAAATGCTCTCGACATTAGAAATTACTTTCGGGGTCTCTCGATACCCGAGGGCGGAGTGCACATAGTGGGCGGGGAACTTGGAGATGCGTTCATTGCGTTCAGGTAGCTATACGAAATACAGTAAATATTCACATATACCTAAACTATGTTTGTAATATTTGTTTGAAACTATTTTACCACAAATATTACAATAATTTGTATGTCAGTAGGTTAGGATAGTGATATTATTTATTTAAAATAAATGGAACCAAGATATGCTGTTTTATACTTTACGGTTATGCTGTATTAAAAAACAAATATTGATTGACTTGATTTAAATATTATGTATTATCATACCAATTAAATGTGTAAATGGTATTAGGAATTATATTTGATTTATCCTCATCATGGAATTCATTTAGTTTAGAACTGATTATAATTTAACATAAACTCGGTTTTCTCTATGGTAAGTAAAAATATTATTTCAGAACTAAGAGGACTTAATCATTAATTTACATTTAATAGTTAAATAAAAATAAGCACAACAAAATAGTATGAAGATATTTCTTACACATGATAGTGATAGTACACATACATACACAAGACAGTATAACTAAGAAAAAAATAGACTAAGCAAAAGTAGATTTATTTGTAAACGATGTAATTGTATCTTGTGAAAGATTTAAGTTACATTAAAAAAAATTTTTTTTTTTTTTCAATAAATAGTTAATTATGTAGGCATCATGTTTTACTATACAATATTAATTTCTCCATACTGTATTCAAGAATTTCTAATATTTACCTTGCAATTGCCTTCAACATTAAAATTTAATATTTTCTCTTGAAGAATATAATTTTGTCACTACTTTACCCTAGGTGTATAATTTTCATAAGAAACTGTTGTTAGATATATTAAATATTGGTTCATATGCTTTTTTATACATGATCAAAATAAACTATGCAAGGTGTTAAATTAAGTAGGTATTCTTTACAGTAACATATATTTTGTCTATATGAAACTATATTCATAACTACATAACAAAAAGTTTGGTTAACATCAGTTGTTCAATTGATGTTATCTGACTTAAAACATAGTAAATATTTCTGATACATTGGTTCAGGTTAAATAATTTATTATCGGAAATCTTTAAATAGAGCTCTATTCAATAACGTGAGTTATTATCTGTTATCTAACAAGGGATCTTCATCACAAATAAAACTTTTCAAACTGTTGCCTAAAGCATCTTGTGGTTACTAGATCTAATATTCAGTTTGTTCGACTTGGAATTTAAACAGGCGAATAGCATCAGCGCTTCTGTTGCCTAGACAGACCTCTAGCCATATCTATGTTTGAGTATAGAAGTATTCTTTTACATTAATTTATTTTAAAATGGGTCATTCTAATGACTATGTTTTCAAGTTTATTTCACAAATACTTTTAAGTTTTATATAACTAACCTTATACATTATTTTTGTACTGGAATCAAAAATCTGGACTATTGTGTCATTAGTTAAAAATGGTATGCATATGGAACTTAAAATGGGACTCTTCACTAATGCTTGACTTTACACTGGGATGCACAAGAAACTACCTAAAAAACATGTTAATAACAACTTTAATAGGCTTTTTCGTTTTCCAAACTGTTTAGAATTCATTAAATTAAAAATATAACAATCGATTTGAAAACTGATAATTATTTATTTATTAATGTTTAATTGACTCGTGATATTTATATGATAAAACTTTACAGTAAAAGTATTTATATAAAATTCTATTATGGCTCTCAATCATATTTAGGGCAAGTAGCTTACTGAGGATATTTATTTTTGTTTTTTCAATGAAAATAGGAAACAAAAGCAGAAACATCTTTTTTTTGCCTACTATGAAATACATAAACCGGTTGTCGATGGTTGGCTGAACATGATTAGGATTTTGGATATTTATACTCTGGCCAAAGATAGGGGAAAAACACTTTCTTTGCTTTGTCTATCTATATTGTGAAAATATAACATAGATAGCTTGTTTTGGATGTATGACTGTACATTAATAAAAGATCTTTATGCACAAAGCTGTAAATTTAATTAAAGCATTGAGGAAAACATTGTCTCTTGAAAATTTTAAGTCATGCCAGTTGCATCGCTATTCATATTCAAATTATCAAAGAGGCGCTATAACGTTCACCCCCTCTGGTATCTCGTCGCAACAAGGCGTTCGTATTGACACGGCCTAAGAACGAAAACAAAACACTGACACGGACACAATGTTACAACGGTATGCGGTCAGCGTGCCGTCCTCGCCAGGACACCATGGTGCATCGCTACCGGTTCCCGTGATTTTATCGCATCGAGGCCGTTGCCTTGCCGGAATGATGTGTGGATTTCTATAGGAATTGACACTGATATGCTTTCACGATATAATGATGGAAGTGTCAAGTGTCACTATAATCTTACCTTAAGTTACTGTATCGCTAAACTCGACTGTTTCAAGATTATCACATACATCTGCGAATAATTGTAATATTTCCATAGAATAAATTTGAAAGAAGTTTAAATTAATTATGGAAGATATTAAGAACTGAGGTATATGCTTTTGACGTGACATTTAATTAGGTATCAAAATTCTTGAGACTATCTTACTGTACTGCATGCAGTGTGAGACTACAGAATGGATCAACAACTGAAGTCTTGTTCATATTTCTTTTTGGCTTACAAAAAGAATATATAGATAGGTCTGAAACTTATTTGTTTAATATTACAATTGAGTTACTTCGGAGGCTTGCAGAATTTGATAATCAAAATGAGTTCATCTACAATTTTATACATTTTGTTTTTAACATTGCAGTTTCTGCAAGAACGACAGTTTTTTCCAGTTCGCTATTAATTAATCGTCAACCTATATAGCTTCATTTTTCATAACTATTAATAAGACCACAGTCCTTTGTTAAACAAAATGTTGTCCACACAGAAATAGTGAGTTATTTTTAAGCAATTATGTGAATATCTTTTCTAATGTGTCACAGTAAACAGTCCCAAAAAAATAGTATAAATTAATAATGTACGTACTACTCGTTATTAAGATTTCCACGCTATAAAAAACTGGTTTTCGATCTGACATCCCCAACAAATAATATGTATTAAAATACAATAAACAATAGGTGAATGGGTGTTGTTAATATTTTTCTAAAATGGTTCTACTTTAATACAAAGAAGGAAAAAGAGAAATATAAATTGCCATTGCGATTTTGAAATTCTGTCTTGTAATAAAATGTCCAGCCCGATGTCAAAAAATTATCCGCCATGTTACTGCGTTAATCTTGTATCTTACTGAAATCTACATAATACTTTACATTTAATAATTATAAAAAAAAACTATAACTAACATAGCTTTATTAAAAATTGTCGAAGAATGGAAAAAGTATATTAATATATCTAAAATAAATCTTAAAAAGGTAGTTTTATGATGTAGAAAAGTATGTTGAAACTATACTTGAAATTTGGAGACTTACATTTATCTTTCTAACTTATAAATTAGCTAAATTGAAGGAGTTTTGTTTTTGTTGGAGATTATTAGCTGTATTTTAGAGTGTAATGTCAATTTTTTTCCTGGATTGTAGGTAGGCACTAGCCTCATAGCTCTTAAATACAAAGTAGCAGTTAACTAAACCATAACTAATTAAAATTACTAATTTGAAAAACAAAAGCTTTTTATTATTTTTAGGAACGGTTCAAAGGTATCAACTGACGGTGCGAAAAAATGTTATAAGATCTTGATAACTAGAAATTAAGCGTTTCTAACTTTCTACCCTCGTTGAGCTAATCAAGTATGTTCTAAGAGGTTAACATTAATACATTCCAGTTGGCAGAATTTAGAGAGAGGAGCCGCAGTTTATTTAAACAGCTACGCTCTTTATATTTTTTATTAATATCCAAAACGTTTTATATTAAGCATATTTTGCCGTGTATTATATCAAACATACTAGGGTATTACCGAAAGTTCAGCTAAATTGTTTTAGCAATATAATGAGAACTTCATAAAAATTTGTAGAGTTAAACTAAAGCCATGTCCACGAGTTCGAGTATCTTAAATATTACTAAACGCAAATTTCATACAAAAGAAATGTTAAATCCTAGGTGAATGACGAAAACTAGTTTTGACTTTCTAGTTCCTATAAGCCATTGTTAAGATCCCCAGGCGAAACTTAAATCAGGAAATCTCGTTCAAGCAATAAACAAAAGAACATTTATAAATTATTGAAGGCAGAGGATTCAATTACTATTAAACTGTCCTTTGTGTAGCTAATTTAGGAGATAGTCTTAGTTGCTAGAACTAAATAAAAATACTTGAAATCAAATTCTAAATAAAGTTTATTTATAAAGACAATTTAACTATCTTTGAGCTAAAGAAATAGGTAAACCACTCAGGAATATAGTGGCTGCTGTCGCCAACGATTATCTACAGATGTTACTGCAGGTGTGGTTTGACATGACCCTTAAGCATAGGACAAGAATTAAGATAAACTCAGCGCTTTAAATTACATTATCAAAGTAATCTCGAGTAAAATACTTTTATTTGTTTTTGTAAGAAGTTGACTGGAATCAATCTATACCAGAAACTATCTTCTTTCAATAGATCACAATGATTTAATTGTAAGGACCTGTATAATATTTTCCTATCATAGATTCTCTAGTAAAAGGCAAAAGATTCCTTTATCCCACGTTTGAAAATTTTCGGCCAAAGCTTACTTGCTATCATACTGTTTTCATGATTGTGTACTAATGATTTTAGGAATTAGTGCTTAAGAATCGGTAATATTAAGTGACAAATAATTTTGTTTAGATAAGTTCTTATAGAATATTTTTCTGGCAGTACATAGAAACATTAAACGACATAAAAACTCTTTTATTTAAATAATTATTATTTAGTTATGAATATTTAGAAAAAATCTAGAAAGTTACACTAAATATAAAAACGATCTATTTTCTAAACATAACACTCAACTTTTGGTTTATGTGCTACTGAAATTATTCCCAGGTCAAAAATAACTCTTGTTTATTTGAAGTTAATGTTCTTAGATTAAATTTCTGCACTGTCTCTATTAGAAATACTTAATTGTAACTAAAGC